TTTTAACGCATTCCAATACAGTTCTGTGCAGCCTGTTCGTTTTTTTTTTTTTTTTGCAACTGGAGTGCACTAGAACTGCATGCACCGATGTGAACTATGACATTGACAACCATATAACCAACTTTCTGTGTATTCTGAATGCAGAAAAAAGCAACTGAAATGCATGTAGTGTGAACTGGCCCTTAGAAAAATGTTACTTCCAATTTTTTATGGAGGGAACAAAAAGCATGCCAGAGGCCTTGTTTACATGAGCAGTAGAGATTACCATACCTTTGAAAAGCATTCTGTTTGACAGGTGGTTGGGAGGTGATATGTTGCCTCCCGAATGCCTGTTTTAACCAATAAAAGCCTAATTCACTTGAATGGATTGTGCTTGGCAGTGTTTTCACCTGCCAAATGTGACTTGCTGTATACATTTTACAGCACTGCTGTGGTCATAGTAACTTGTGGTTTGGGGGACAGTAAAAGCACGGATCAAAAGCCTGTTTTTATTACCTCCTGGCCACACATGTCAACAAGGCCTAAAGAAGAACAAAAGTTGTGCCCCCCCCCCCCAAAAGAACAAGCAGACAGCAAAGGACCTGTCGCCAGTATTGCCAATAGTCTCCCTGTAGCTAATCTCTTCACCGCTACTGACTTAGCAGGTCTTGTTCTGCTGTGTCTTTGTGGAGGCGGCCATCTTGGTAGAGGCAGGGCTTTATTTCCACATGTCAGAGCCTCCAGCCACCTTGGTAGAGGCAGGGCTTTATTTCCACATGTCAGAGCTCTCCGGCCATCTTGGTAATCTCTTCACCGCTACTGACTTAGCAGGTCTTGTTCTGCTGTGTCTTTGTGGAGGTGGCCATCTTGGTAGAGGCAGGGCTTTATTTCCACATGTCAGAGCCTCCAGCCGTCTTGGTAAAGGCAGGGCTTTATTTCCACATGGCAAAGCCTCCAGCCATCTTGGTAGAGGCAGGGCTTTATTTCCACATGTCAGAGCTCTCCAGCCATCTTGGTAGAGGCAGGGCTTTATTTCCACATGTCAGAGCTCTCTAGCCATCTTGGTAGAGGCAGGGCTTTATTTCCATGTCAGAGCCTCCAGCACAGAACAGTAAGCAGCACTGTATTGAGATGTAGAATTGGGTGCAGGAGGGGAAGCCTGAAGTTCTGCTATAAAGGAAACTTTTACTGAGGAAGGGCAAAAACTGCCATGCTGATGTCCTGAAAACACTGATTGGCGATGTGTCATTATATAGTATAGTTAATAGTTTCTGAGTCACTGGCCCACAACAAAAAATGTTAGGCCTGGTTCACACTAGTGCAACTTGAGTCACACAGAATTGCATGAACAGGGAAATCTCATTGTTTTCAATGGTGCCCGTTCTAATAAATGCGACTCAGAATAGTGTGATTTTTAGAAAAGGTTCCTGCACTACTTTGATGCGATTTAGGGCCCATTCATACCAGATGCGGAGGGACTGGACTGGGCAGGTATCCCAGTGAAGACACAACGCATGACAAAGCAAAATGCTTTGTTTTCTGTGTGCCCGGTTCACATCTCTGCATTGCGGTAGTGTGCAGGCACAGTATGCTGAAAAAAGTAGCACATGCACTACTTTTTCTTCAGCGCAGCACGAGGCACCACCTCGCACCATGCGTTGTCCAATTGAATGTTATAAACAGAAAAAAAGGAACAGTGCAGTAATCCCACCAGTCCGCATTGCACACCAGCGTGTGCGTTCCTGCGCATTGACTGGTGTAAATGGACGACTTTGCCCCATAGAATATGCAAAGTCACATCAAAATCCCACCACATAATTGCACTGTAAATCGCATCAAAGTGCCATTGCAGAAGTGTGAACCAAGCCTTAGCCTCACTCAGACTTTTGCATGCTGGTTCCATATCCATAACACAAGTATTAGGAAAAGCGTGAAGTGCCGCTCCAAACTGCGGCTAAGTGTCTCCCTGCCGGTGTTCAGGAGATGGGAGCAGGCATCAAAATTCACTCATCCAGAAGTGTCAAACTATGTAGTATAGGACACCGCTCAGACCGATCTAGTGCTGATGAAATGTATTAAGATATGTGGCCTCGCCCAACGCTACTCCAGCCATGCCCGCTGATGCCTTTCGTCATGTGGGTGGGGAGAAATGCGTCCGCTATTAAAACACATTTTACAGGGAAATACACGCATGTATAAAGGGTAACTGTCCATGTCCTCCTGAGGGGGGTGTTACTGATGATTGTTGTTATACTAGTAATAAAGATTACTTATCAAAGTAGAGGGTGTTTCTTCATGATGGCTTATTGTAACATCACCCTGAAGAGTCCTTTCCTTGGAATAATAATAGATACCTTTCATGTGTTGGTCAGAGTATAGTATAATATAGGGTATTTTGTTCCCTTTGTTTTCTTGGTGCTTCAAAGCGTCTCTAAAGCCTCCATAGAAGTTTAAGACAATGCTCACTAACAGCACCTGCTGCGTTTTTTTAAGAGGCTTTTTTTCAGACTTTGCTATGCTTTGTTTTGGAGGTATTGCAGGTATGACCTATCCCAGGATGCACTGGAAAACCGACAAGTGAACCAGAAAGATGTCATCAGCAGTAACTTCTGGTTCATGTGTATATATTCTGGGAGTGTCTAATGCGGACGTCACCTCTGATGTGCAACGTGGAGCAGCAGGAAGGCAAGCGGGGTCCAAACTAGAGCGAAGAAACTAGCAGACTGCACACGTGGAGTGCAACATGAGATTGTCATAGGAGAAGGTGAAAAGGGAGAGGAGAGAGAGAGAGCAGAGCTGGGGGTTGCTGCTGGGAGGAGGATCAGCAGAGCTAGGGGTTGCTGCTGAGAGGAGGATCAGCAGAGCTAGGGGTTGCTGCTGAGAGGAGGATCAGCAGAGCTAGGGGTTGCTGCTGAGAGGAGGATCAGCAGAGCTAGGGGTTGCTGCTGAGAGGAGGATCAGCAGAGCTAGGGGTTGCTGCTGAGAGGAGGATCAGCAGAGCTAGGGGTTGCTGCTGAGAGGAGGATCAGCAGAGCTAGGGGTTGCTGCTGAGAGGAGGATCAGCAGAGCTAGGGGTTGCTGCTGAGAGGAGGATCAGCAGAGCTAGGGGTTGCTGCTGAGAGGAGGATCAGCAGAGCTAGGGGTTGCTGCTGAGAGGAGGATCAGCAGAGCTAGGGGTTGCTGCTGAGAGGGGGATCAGCAGAGCTGGGGGTTGCTGCTGAGAGGAGGATCAGCAGAGCTGGGGGTTGCTGCTGAGAGGCGGATCAGCAGAGCTGGCGGTTGCTGCTGAGAGGAGGATCAGCAGAGCTGGCGGTTGCTGCTGAGAGGGGGATCAGCAGAGCTGGCGGTTGCTGCTGAGAGGGGGATCAGCAGAGCTGGCGGTTGCTGCTGAGAGGAGGATCAGCAGAGCTGGGGGTTGCTGCTGAGAGGGGGATCAGCAGAGCTGGGGGTTGCTGCTGAGAGGGGGATCAGCAGAGCTGGGGGTTGCTGCTGAGAGGGGGATCAGCAGAGCTGGGGGTTGCTGCTGAGAGGGGGATCCGCCGTGCCGGGGGTTGCTGCTGAGAGGGGGATCCTCCGTGCCGGGGGTTGCTGCTGAGAGGGGGATCAGCAGAGCCGTGGGTTGCTGCTGAGAGGGGGATCAGCAGAGCCGGGGGTTGCTGCTGAGAGGGGGGGATCAGCAGAGCCGGAGGTTGCTGCTGAGAGAGGGATCAGCAGAGCCGGGGGTTGAAACAAATAGAAAATTACCATGCAGAGATCATTTGCCAAGCTTCAAAAAAACATCACTGCGGCATCAAAAAAAGCACCTTGAATCTGTAGGCACTTTTAATGTGTATTTAAAGTTGAGGCAAGTGTAAACAAGCCCTTAGTGATATAATATCACAGACACAAAACAAAGCTTTCCGGGCTACACCTGCCTTCCTCAAGGCCTTTGGTGATTATTCAATTGACTCTGAGTCCTGTAATGCCTGGTGTATACAATGGTTGATTGATGAACAACAGTTACACCATAGTGAATTAGGCTTTAGAATGCATTGAAGGTAGGGACAGCCTGATTACTTTTGCTCAACATTACCCTAATGGGCTGTGTTGAAAGCCAGTGCAGACACTGTAGCTGATCCGACATTTAAAAATGTGACTTAAGCTGGCCATACACTAACCGAAATTTGTCTGGTCCCTGTTGAACCGGTCAAATTTCTATCAGTGTGTGGCCATACCTGCTTGACAAAAATTGACCATTTGATAGACTTCTGTCAAAGACACATGCTGCCAATCGGCTGCAGTCCCTGGGCAGTTTATTCTCACAGCAGCAGATCCCGCTGTCAGAATACAATGTCCCGGCAGGAGGATACCTTCATCCAACCCTTTTGTATGGACAGAGGAGTATGTTTTTCTTTTTCAGTCATATAGTGTATGGTTAGTTTAAAGTATAACTAAAGGCAACATTTTTTAAATTTTTTTTGGGATAGAGTGGAGAGGAATGATAGCCTCTGTCAGTTTGTAATGCTGTCTGGGCCCGTTTAATAAAATTCACTTTCTCTATTTGTCCTGTTTACCATTATCATTGAATGTGAAAGTAAAGAAAATCCCAAATTTTGGGTTGTCCCCAAAAGAGTAATAAAGGGGAAACCTTCTAAGGGACTCCCTTTTTAATGTGCAGGGATTTTCTCTCACTTCCTGATTGACTATGGTACAGGAAGTGAAGGGAAATCTCTGAAATGGGATACAGATAGCGAGGGGAAAAAAAATCTGACCAGGGTTATAACCCTCCTTATAACCCTTGCCTTTAGTTCTACTTTAAGTTGCTACATGGAGTCACCAATGTTTCTGTTGGTTAGTTGCATCCCTGCTGTTTTCTAAGCCTTGTGCAGGAAGCGGATATAGAAAGAAAGTGGACTATATAGAAGAAAGAAAGTGGACTATATAGAAGAAAGAAAGTGGACTATATATTGTTGTGTTTATGTGTGAAACTGTTAAAGCTGATTGTTATTTATGGAAAATGAACAATGAATTCCTCCTTCCAGGATACCTCTGACAAAGTTCCCTTCTATACGGAGAACATTTACTGAGTCTGGTGGGGATCTGAAGAATCTGATTGGAGAAGAAGGCTACAACAAATTCTACCCTGGATTTCCACCAAATGGGGGTCCCACACCAGAGACTCTGAAGAATTATCTGGATGTAAGTATGATGCTACTGCTCATGTCTGGTTTATTGTCATGCGTCCTAAATGTATAGTAAATAGCTTTCTGGTGTGTGTGTGTAATATTTATATACATTTAACCACTTGCCCTCCAGAGGATTTGCCCACCCCCCCCCCTTCCTCTCCAGGCACGGCGTTACGGCACTGAGTTACTTTAACTGACAACTGCGCGGTCATGCAACTCTGCACCCAAATGAAATTTAAGTCCTTTTTTTTTCTCCCATGTATTGAGCTTTCTTTTGCTGGTATTTGACTGCCCGTGTGTTTTTTTTTTTTTTCTGCTATTTTAAGGGAAAAAAAAGACAATTTTGAGAGAAACAATATTAAACATGTCTAGTAAAAAAATTAAAAAAATCTAATTTCATCATAAATTTCGGCCAAAATGTATTCTGCTACATGTCTTTGCTACAAAACAAATCCCAATACGTGTAGATTAATTGGTTTACGTGAAAGTTATAGCGTTTACAAATGGCGGTATATATACTGGAATTTTTTTCATTTTTTTTTACTAGTAATGGCAGCGATCAGCGACTTATAGCGGGACTGCGGCGGGCATTCTGACACTGGGTGGAACTGACTTGGTGTCACTGACATCCCCAGTGACACCAATACAGTGATCAGCACTAAAAAAAAAGCACTGACACTGTACTAATGGCACTAGGCAGGAAGGGGTTGACATGAGGGGCGATCAAAGGGTTAACTGTGTGCTGGGAGTGTTTTACTAGGGGGTGGTGTGTTGTGTAAGCACACTGCTGTGGATGGCAGTGCTGTGCACAGCCATCCTGAGGAGTGTGCTCGAGCCAACAGGGAGGACTGTTAGTAAACAAAGCAGCCCTCCTCCCCATCAAAGATACTCGGTAATCACCGGCTGGGACGCGGTGATTGACAGCCGCGGCTGTGAATGGTGGCACGGCTCGCATGTGCCCCCTATCCGGAAATACAAAATCATGTGTGTATATACGTGAATTTGTGCACCCCAGATGTTTGTATATAATTGTAAATCAAAACCACCCCCAGCATCCACTTGTGAAAATAAAATAAATAAAAAGTCCAATTTCCATAGTCTTTGTGAAGTATCTGCCCTTTTTCGTTCGCTATAAATGTTCCACACCACGTGCTCAGTGCCACCAACTCCCCATAGGACACTCACTCACCAGATTTGAATGCGTCTTGTTTTCATGAAAAAGAAGGGAACTCCAATAGTGCAAAACCGTTAAAAAACCTCAATTTGTTTCTCCATTACAATTTATTCACAAGCATACAATGTTTAATGCCCTAAGCATGATCACAAAGCCACTACAGTGTCCAGATACAGTAATGCAGGCCATACATGGGTTGAATTCCGAAACAAATTTTCTTTAGAGATTTCGTGTGTTTTGAAATCCGATGGTGCCACCATTGATTTCGAAATTCAACCAACCAAGCCTTCAATTTCTCCCTATGTTGCTACAGAAAAGAATTTTCGTGGCTAAGAATTTTCTTTTCTTTCCAGGTCACAGGTTTATATTTCTTGCACGATTCTCCCATCATTGATTCGAAATCTGTTTCCAACATGCCCAATCACTCAAATTTGATGGTCACACAAAAATCGTCCGTTTCTGTGACCCACTAATGGTGCGTAATTCAAACGAAAATTCTTAGAAAAGGTTTTTCGAAAGAAAAATATTTTGGAAATTGACCCATGTATAGCCGGCTTTAGTCAGGTCGACAATATTGGCGTCTTACCCGTCAGAACCTTTGTAACTTCCAGTTCCACGCATTGCATCACTTCCGGTTGCTGTGCAGCACATTCCGACGCGTTTAATCATCATGAGTTTGTCCAGCTGTCTAGTTATGACTTTTTCTTGGGTAGGTAATGCTCTGTAGTACAAGTGGTCATGCTGCTAATGTCTACAGAACTACCGGCACCTTGAAGATTAACAATAAAGGTGCAATATTTTGATCTCCCTGCAAATCTAAAATGGAAGAAAGCTTTTACTTTCTGAATAATAAATGTGGCAGATTTCTGCTTAACTCCTTAAGTGCTGGTGATTTTTTTTTTTTTTTTTTTTTTTTTTTACTGTCTGTGGCTCTTGGCACTGCTGTTTTGGCACTTTGAAGTAAATTAATTGTAGTCAGCGGCCTGGCATAAGTAGGCTGATTAGGAAAGCTACAGAAAAGTCAGAAATCATTATGGACAGGTTTCCTTTTAAACCACTGGGAACCTTCAGGCATGAACTAGAATTTTCAAGAGATGAACTAGAATTTTGCTGCCACGAGATGTTTGCATTTTAACACCTGATCTGCCTTTTCTTTCTAGGCTCAGTACTATGGTGAGATTGGCATTGGAACGCCTTCACAGACATTCACAGTAGTGTTTGATACAGGATCATCTAACCTTTGGGTGCCTTCCATCCACTGCTCCTTGCTGGACATTGCCTGCTGTGAGTAACACTTTCCTTACACACGTTTATTAAAGTCTTAATGTGGTATTCCAACTTCTCTCTAAATATTATTAAATATAAATGTGCCCAAAGTTTGGTTTTAATAGAGCGTGTTCTTTTGTTCTATTCTAGTATTACACCACAAATATGATTCTTCCAAATCTTCCACCTATGTAAAGAACGGTACAGAATTCTCCATTCAGTATGGCAGCGGGAGCTTGTCTGGGTACCTGAGTCAGGACACTGTGACGGTAAGGTCCCATCTGGTCTAGAGAAGGAAATATGCTTCCATTGCATTTCCCTGTTATTGCCCTTACTAGGAAATCAGATTCCAGAGGCCTATGCTCCAGAACAGGTTAGAGCAGGGGTCTCCAAACCTTTCAAACAAAGGGCCAGTTTATTGTCCTTCAAAATCCAGCCCTTCAAACAAAGGGCTGGATTTTGACCAGTGGGGGTAGAGAATGTCCTGGGCCCAGCATCAGTGAAAATACCCATGGGGTACTAATCCTCCCATTAATACCCATCATTGGTATTAATGGGAGGAATAATGCTCCATCATTGGTATCAGTGTAAGAAATAGTGCCCCATTGTTGGTGTCAGTGGGAGGAATAGTACCTCATATCATTGGGAGGAATAGTGCCCTAAGGGCCATATAAAGGCTAGCATGGGGTCACATCCGGCCCTCGGGCCGCAGTTTGGAGACCCCTAGGTTAGAGAATAAGAAAAGAATCTGGTTGTTGCTATGGGTGACACATTTTCCCTATAAATCTAGGCCAATTATATTTAGAAGTGTTCACTGTTAACCACTTAGGGACCGTCCACCACAGATTTATTGCAACAGAGCGGCCTCTGCTGCACCAGGTCACGTACATATATGTGGTTCAGCATTTCCACCGCTCCGGCTGTGCTGTCATTCGGTACTGCACAAGCCGATTAGCCAATCCTGGCAAATGATTTATGGCCCTGACCCACCCGCTGTTTGGCCGAGCTAATGTCAGGAGACAGCCCTGTGTTAGTAAACAACACGAGTCTCTACAGAGGGCAGCGCTATGACTGTTTTTTTTTTTTTCTTTTCCGTGCTAAGCAGGAAGTAAAAACAGTTGCATTGCTTAGTAAAATCAGCCCACTTTACACTCTTCACACTTGTTAGGCACATAGTTTTGCCTCTAGATGTTACCTCTTCCCAGCCAGTGTAATTAGTACAGTGACAGTGTATATTATTAGCACTGATCACTGTATTAGTATCGCTGGTGAGTTCGGTGTCATCCAATTTCCACAAAGTGTCAGTTAGTGTCAGATTGTCCACTGCACTATCACAATCCCACTCTAAGCTGCTGATCACCGCCATTACTAGTATAAAAAAAAAAAAATTCCAGGATATATACCAATGTTTTCAGGCGGTATAACGTTCTCGCAAACTAATTAATGTATACTTACTGGAATTGATTTTTTTTTACCAAAGATGTAGCAGAATACATTTTGGCCTAAATTTGTGAAGAAATTATATTTTTTTTAATTGGATATGTTTTAGAACAGTAAAAAAATTGTTTGTTTAATTTTTGGTCTTTTTTCATTTTTATAATAAAAAATAAAAACTCAGTGGTGATCAAATACCGCCAAAAGAAAGCTCTATTTGTATGAAAAATTATATCAATTTAATTTGGGTACAGTGTTGCGTGGCCGCGCAATTACCAGTTAAAGTAGCACAGTGCCAAATAGCGAAAAAGGCCCTGGTCATGACAGGTAAAAACTTCCAGAGCTTAAGTGGTTAATGCATAATCGAAAAAGAGAAGAAGCGCCTCTAAGTGCGTATAGACCACTTTTAATAAGTAACAAATCTAGAACAACTCACATTGTATCATTGTAAAACAGGCTCATATGGTGCAGGCTCAGGGATAAAAGAACGGCTGTGTCCAGGCTATGATAGCCGCGTCTGGGAGCGTGGTTGTAGGAGAAAAAGCCGGCCAGCATGTGGAGTCTCCTAAAGATGGCGTCTGAAACGCACATCGGCGTCAGCGTGATGACGTACAAGGACCAGCATGCATAGCTATGCATATACAGAGTTCTGGTACTACTGCTATAGAAGGCTTGCCCTAGTGCTAAATGGACTTTTTTGCAGTCCTTATATTGGACTTTATGGAAATGTATCTATTTCATTTGCATGGTGGCAGTTTTTGCGCTGATTGTTCTTTATTCATTCTTTTGCTTGGTTAATGCATAATCTCCCATTGCCTCCTAATATTTCTCAGATTGGCAACCTTGCCGTGAAAGGACAGCTCTTTGGGGAAGCCATCAAGCAGCCTGGTGTTACGTTTATTGCAGCCAAATTTGATGGGATATTGGGCATGGCATACCCTCGAATCTCTGTTGATGGTGTTCCCCCCGTGTTTGACAATATCATGCAACAGAAGCTGATCGAAAACGACCTATTCTCCTTCTACTTAAATAGGTGAGACATGTAAATGATTTGTTTCATATGACATTTCAACCCATGTGCGGCATTGACATGTCCATGTAAATGTTTCTTATTAATATATAATTTCTTTATATAGCAGCATACTCTTATACACTGTACAAAGCATAGCTGGTCATTCACGGATTTCCTATCCATTCTGGGGTAAATAAAAGTTCTAGAAAACACATGCATACAATATTAAATCCCAGGCAGGTATAAAATTTGGACTTTATATTGGTGTAGTACAGTCTGCTGTACACAGGATTTGGACTCAGAAAGGGGAAACAAAGCTAAATAGAGCAAGCTTTGTTAGAGCAGGGGAGAGCATGCTTATTACCTCTTGTCACCCCTAGCTTTTACAGTAGAGTAGGGGGCATATGTATGAGATATATAATAGAAATACTAAGATGATGGTTTTGCCTGAATTTCCCCTTTAGCCCAAAAGTCTACTTTCACTGTCCCTAGGTGTGGGCATAGATTGGATCCAAAATATATTGGAACAGTAATAGCCACATTAGTTCAGGTATTTTTTATTTTTTTGTATAATCTGTATTAAGGATTTTCAGAACAAAAGATAAAGCAGTTACAAAGACAAACATATAAGAACACAGAGAAGAGATAGCAGCTTTAAGCAAGTCGAGCCCACAACAGGCCCTGCATACAGTGATATAATACAAATGTAAATCAAGCATATGGTACAATACAAATGTCATGCCACGCACCCCCTGCCCACTGTCAGGGCAGCGAGAACCAGCACAAGACTGATCACCAAGGGACCTGGCTACCACGCAGGAGCTACATCTCTACACAAGGTCAGCCAGTCTCAGGGCGATACATCAGATGTGCACCCCGTATCATTCCACGTTTAGTTCAGGTATTTGAGATCCATTTAGGCCTAACCAAAATCTTTGGAAATAGAAGATGCAGCACACTTGACACATGACAATAGTGGGGCCTTTATGTACCCAAACACTGGACTGATGCAAAAATAGCAAGATTTAAATGCACTGTGCCCTGCACAGTCCTGCCTTTTTAAATACAATGAGTTTTGCATTAATTTTTTACACAGTTGGCCCAACAGTGTCAAACAATGGTTAAGTGATCGTAAAGGATTACATTTTATTTTTAAAAATAAGAAACATGTTCTACTTGCCTGTTATGTGCAATGGTTTTGCACCGAGCAGCCCCAATCCTCTTCTTCTGTGGTCCCCCGCTGGCGCTCTTGGCTCCCCTCTCCTTCCTCACTGCTGTCTCTGAGCCATTAAAGAGGGAGAGCTGCTGCTGCCAAGCACAATTCTGGTTTGAGATCCGGCTTGGGTAAGTATGGAGGGGGGGGGGGGGCGTAACTGTATGTAGAAGGTGTGTTTTTTGTTTTTGGTTTTTTTTTGTGTTTTTTTTTTTTTTTACCTTTAAAGTGTTGCTAAACCCTGGACCCTGCATTCACTATATCTGGTCACCCACAGCACACAGTACATGGAAGTGCAATACTTTTAGTAAATATAAACAGCTAAATACCTTTTCTCATCAGCAGTTAGAGCAGTCTTGTGACTTCAGCAGAGCACTGGTTAAAGCTTGTAGGAGGAGTTTTTTCATTCTGCTCTAGGAGAATGAAAATCCCCTGACCCTCTGTCTCGACAGTGCTTATTGGCTCTGTGGTGATCACATGCACTCTCCAAAGAAAAAAAAAAAAAAAAAAAAACCTCTCTAGCAATACACACTAAACTGAGCATGTAGTGATAAGACATGGACATTTGAACAAGAGAGGGGGCAGAGAAGTCCGGATCAAACAGCCTTTTTACACAGTGCAGAGGAATAACCTCTTAGGTTCCACAGTGAGTATAACATGCATGCTTTACTGCATATACAGACTGATTTTACTGTTGTGGGTTTAGTAACACTTTCATTAAGTTAAAAACATTCTACCTTGAGAACCACTTTAAATGTTTAGAGTGTATAGTGAAAAGTGTAAACTTTCCCTCTTAGGTTTAGAACAGAAACACCTTTTAGTAGTTTCGAAAAATCAAATTGTGTCATAATTCTCCTTCATTGGGCACAGCAAATATATCACCTTTTACTCTGCAGCAATAAGTGTCCCCTTCTCCTTCTCAGGGAAAAGCTGTGGGTGTCATTCCTTAGGTGCACCCAACAAAGTTATTGCTCCTATTCCATTATGTTCTCTAGAAATCGATGGCTGCCTTCATCCTTACTGTGCAAAAAAAAATGTCTTTAACTCATGATTTTGTTATGCCTAGACCTGCACACAATATATATGTGACCATCTCACGATTTCTACAGGAAGGATACAAGATGGCGTACAGGGCATATTAGTTTAATTGGAAAGCTTTGTGTTTTTCCACTTGTAACTCCTGGTATATAATGGGAACATTCAGGACTCTACATTGGGGTGTACGGCTGTACAAAGGAAAATCCTTTTGTTGTGGCACCCAGGAGCCACAAGTGCAACGTAATTTAGCCCAATAAGTTTTTTTGCAGAATGCGCTGTGCGCAGCTATACATGCATAACCATTGGCACGCCACATGCATATGGGCGTATGTTTCAAAGTGTAAAATTTTACAATGGGCTAAAGTATTCTGCAGCTGTGGCTCCTGGGTGCTACAGCAACAGGCGAATTTTACTGTGTATGGCCATACACCCTAATCTACAGTCTTGTTCAAGCGCCCTTAATCACATGCAAACATTTTTACTTTTTGCCTTGGGTGGATGATTTTGTAAGTTGTGGCAGATGCTTTACGCAGATTATTATTTTTTAGTTTTAGTACGAGATCTACTGGGAGCCCAGATAACATAGACCTGAGACCTAAAGTAGGTTCTTTTGATCTTCTTCAGGAATCCAGAATCTCAGCCCGGTGGTGAGCTTTTACTTGGAGGCACAGATCCTAAATATTACACTGGAAAATTTAACTACCTCAATATCACCCGCAAAGCATATTGGGAAATTCATATGGACCAGTAAGTAGCAACATTACTTTCCTTTTTTGTTGCCTCTTTTCTTGCTCATCTGATATACTAGTATTTTTTTCATCATATCTGATTTTTATTTTCTTGAAGTGGTCTTTTTCATACTTCTACTTTTTCTAGATCTATTGATAGTAGCATACTAGAACATTAACCCACATAAATGCCAATTTGGTACATTTTGAAAGCATCCCAGTCTTAGACGGGTTCAATATTGAGTTGGCCCCGCCCTTTGCAGCTATAACAGCTTCAACTCTTCTGGTAAGGCTGTCAAGGTTTAGGAGTGTGTCTATGGGAATGTTTGACCATTCTACCAGAAGTGCATTTGTGAGGTCAGGCACTGATGTCGGACGAGAAGGTCTGGCTCGCAGTCTTCGTTCCAAAGTTGTTCTTTCGAGTTGAGGTTAGGACCCCAAACTCGCTCATCCATGTCTTTATGGACCTTGCTTTGTGCACTGGTGCACAGTCATGTTGGAACAGGAAGGGGCCATCCCCAAACTGTTCCCAAAAAGTTGAGAGCATAGGTTGTCCAAAATGTCTTGGCATGCTGACGCCTTAAGAGTTCCCTTCACTGGAACTAAATGGCCAAGCCCATCCCCTGAAAAACAACCCCACACCATAATCCTCCCTCCACCAAACTTTACATTTGCCACAATGCAGTCAGGCAATTACCGTTCTCCTGGCAAACCCAGACACGTTCATCAGATTGCCAGACAGAGAAGTATGATTCGTGACTCTAGAGAACACATCTCCACTGCTCTAGAGTCCAGTGGCGGCCTGCTGTACAGCACTGCATCTGATGGTTTGCATTGCACTTGGTGAAGTAAGGCTTGGGTGAAGCTGCTTGGCCATGGAAACCCATTCTATGAAGCTCTCTACACCCTGTTGTGCTAATCTGAAGGCCACACGAAGTTGCTGACTTCTGCGCACTGTGCGCTTTAGCATGTACTGACCCTGCTCTGTCATTTTACATGGGCTACCATTTTGTGGCTGAGTTGCTGTTATTCCCAGTTGCTTCCACTTTGTTATAATACCACTAACAGTTGACTGTGGAATATTTAGTAGCAAGGAAATTTCAGGGATAGACTTATTGCACAGGTGGCAACCTATCACGCTACCACACTTGAATTCACTGAGCTCCTGAAAGCGACCCATTCTATCACAAATGTATGTAGAAGCAGTCTGTATGACTAGGTGCTTGATTTTATGCACCTGTGGCCATGGAGGTGATTGCAACCTGAATCCAATGATTTGGAGGGATGGCCCAATACATTTGGCAATATAGTGTATAATGATGGAAATAAAAATATATCTCCCCATGTTCATACTACCCATTCTCCTTAACTAGCGTATTCTGAGAGGAAAAAACACCTTTCCACAATATGTTGATGGTCATAGATTACTAGGATAGGATAGTAGTTTCTTGGATGCGTTTCCCAGATTAAATCTGTTTTTTCAGAAAGTAGCAGATTTCTTTAAATAAGTACAATGTAACGGATTTACTGTACAATAATATATTCACAATACAGCCTATTCTTAATTTTATTTGTTGACTTATAAATGATGCCTGTACCCAGTACTTTATTTTTACTAATTTATAGAGATCTCCCCTACTTTCTGAAGAAGCAGTTATAATCTGTGAAATGTGTCAAAGAAACTACAACCCTTCGACTAATTTGTGACCATCAACATAGGGAGATATTTTGTTTTCTATTATATATGATGCTATAGGAATCAACCTATGGGAGCATAACTGCTTTTATGAAATGTTTATTCTTGTATTAACCATATGCAGCCCGCCCTATGGCCGAATGGCGGGCGGCAAATGTCATCAGCGTTCCGGGTGGACGCCATATGGCGTCCTCCCGCACATGCGCAGATTGTGCTCCTGCAGAGCGGCGCAGCTGCGCAATCTGTCACCAGCCGTGTACCTCGGACAGGGCGGCGATGACAGATCTGAGTATCTGCCCCATTGCTGGTACCATGTGACCTGCTGTGACCAATCACAGCAGGTCACATGACAGTTGTATACAATGGATGGCTTCATTCATGCCATCCATTGTATACTAGTGTCTAGCTGTGAATGGTCACAGCTAATCACATGCACATGTCAAAAAAAAAAAAAAAAACCCTGAATGAATCGATGTCATTTAGGTAAATGCTTGCTTATAGCAAAGTAATTCTTTGCCATAAGCAAATTGAGTAAAAAAAAAAAATACTGATCACTTCCCCAAAGTTGGTCATAGTGAAATATGAAAAAAAAATCTTAAAAAAAAGGAAAAAAAGTAATTAAAAAAAATAAAAATATTTTTTTTTTTTCATACTTTTACCAGTCAGTGTCCCTGATCACCGTCATGCCAGTTATATGATGACGCTGTACTGTACTGGTAACAATATGTAAAAAAAAAATAGTGAAACTAATTTTTTTAATTTTTTTTTTCATTTTCCGGAAAATTATGACAAAAAAATTACAACTTTAAAAAACTCGCCATGCCTCTTATGAAGTACGTCGGACTGTCTACTCTGCAAAAAGGGGTCATTTGGGGGATATCTGTACTGTTCTGACATTCTTGGACCTCAAGAAATTAGATTGGCTGTCAGTACTTCAGGATTGATCAATTTTCAGATCTATACCATAGTTTGTGAACTCTATAACTTTCCTACAAACTAAAAAATACATCCTAATTTGGGTTATTTTCACCAAAGACATGTAGTAGAATACATCTCGGACTAAATTTATGAAGAACAATTATTTATTTGCAAACTTTTATAACAGAAACAAAGAAAAACTTCTTTTTTTTTTTCAAAATTTGGTCTTTTTTTTGTTAATTTAGCAAAAAAATAAAAAACCCAGCGGTGATTAAATACCACCAAAAGAAAGCTCTAGTTGTGTGAAGAAAATGATAAAATTTTAGTTTGGGTACAATGTTGTATGACCGCGCAATTGTCATTCAAAGTTTGAGAGCGCTGAAACCTGAAAACTGGCCTGGGCAGGAAGGTGTAAAATTGCCCTGTATTAAATTGGTTAAAGCCCAAGTTTACTGGAAAAAAATATATATTTATATATATATATTATAATAATCAGCACAAGGGACATACTTATCATCAGTGTTATGTCTTTTATGCTGATGTGTCCTTGTTATATCAGAATCTCCTGGTGCAGTGGCACTCCTCAAGAAAGCCTGACTATGCCCACCCTTTCCACTTAGCTTCCCCATTCATATAAGCCAGTACTACAGCTTCTATGGCTAAAATGTATTCTATGAATAGAGGACGGGAAGATGATTGAAAGGTCTGCCCTCTCCATTCACATTCTCTGTTTTATTCATAGATGCTGTAGTACTGGCTTCTGTGGGTGGAAAGGGCAGTGGTGGTGGTGGGATATTTGAGGCAAAAGATTGGGGGATGCCCATAATAAAGGCAAGTAATATCCCTTAATATTTTTTCCTTTTGGGGGCTTCAAATAAAACACTATAGTTAATAAAAATATACTATTTTGTTTCCTATGTCCTATGTGTGACCCCTTTAAAAATCCCACTAACATTGATTATTAGATAATGTTGCACAAGAGTTTATGGGCATTTTGTTTGTTTTTCTAAGAATGTTTTTTCAAAACCCTCCCCCCCTGCTCATTTTTCATTGTAAACTTGAAAACGCTGAATGCTCCTAAATGCCGTGTTTATGCTCATTTTGTGTGCGTGTGTCATGCTTTCCAGGGTAGGGGAGATATCTGGGGTTTTATAGACCCCTGATGTCTCCATAACGAAGACTTGTCACTGCCTTATTTCTATCACAAGGGATGTTTACATTTCTGTGTAAAAATAATAGAAAAAAATGTTTTTAATGCGCTCCTGTCACCCCATGCTTTTGCGCAGTTGTGAACGTATACGTTGATCACACACATATTTAAACGTTGTTCGCACCACACAAGGTATTGTCATAAATGTTGTAGTGAGAGCAATAATTTTATTTAAGCCCATGGACCCAGAGAGAAGACTTTTTACTAGTATGAATAGTTCTGTATCTGAAGAAAATGTCATTCCTGTCCTTCTTTTTAGACCGCTGGTGGCACTGTAGATGGGGAAAAGTTCATTTATAAAAGCACCTAGTTGTCTTCACCTTGCAGAAGTATTTTACCCACATTGCAGGTTGTGGTGTCTGGGTACAAAATTTGACCGTTACTAAAAATGGGTTGACTGATGAGATCTCTGTGTTGTTATTTGCAGGATTGATGTTGGTAAGCAACTCGCTCTATGTAAAGGAGGCTGTGCAGCCATTGTTGACACTGGAACCTCACTGATCACTGGCCCAAAGGATGAAGTGGTTGCACTGCAGAAAGCCATTGGAGCTACGCCTCTAACTCAGGGAGAGGTGAGGTAGCAATATTGACCTGTAATGTGCACACCAGCGTATAAGGACATGTTTTATTTCCTCCTGCAAATTTTCACAGTGCAAGGAGCATACCAAAACATTATCTTGATTGTGCAAATATATACAGCTGATCTGTATTATTTCTCTGTGATCTTGCATTGTAGATGTTGGGGATAAATTTCTTTTCTCCATATGGTTTAAAATATACTGACAGTTGTGCTCAAACGTTTGCATACCCTTGGAGAATTGGTACTATACGTTATGTACCATTTTTAAAGAAAACATGAATGAGAAGGCCAAATGCATTTCTTTTATTTCCTATGGGATTCATATTAAACTGTAGGTCATAACCGAATGGCACAATCAAATAAAAAAAAAATGTCAACAAGTAAACAAATGAAATAACCTAGTTTTTAATACTGTGTATTGCCTCCTCTAGCATCAATGGCAGTGTGCAGTCTTTTGTAATAGTTATCTGAGACCCCAAATTCTTGCAGGTGGTCTAGCCGCCCATTCGTCTTGGCACAATGCCTTCAGGTCATGCAAAGTCTTTGGTCATCTTGCATGAACCGCACTTTTTGAGATCTCCCCAGAGTGGCTCGGTGATATTGAGGTCAGCAGACTGATGGCCACTCCAGAACCTTCACCTTTTTTCTGCCATAACCACTGGAGGGTCAACTTGGCCTTGTGCTTAGGGTCATTGTCATGCTGGAAAGTCCAAGAGCGTCCCATGCGCAGCTTTCGTGCAGAAGTTATCGCTATAGTCCTTGATGACCCCTCTCCATGTAGTGCTTATGATTGTGACCATACAGCAAAGTTTTCTATTTTGGTTTCGTCCCTTGAAATTACAGTGTGGCAGAAGCTGTGAGGAATGTCAAGGTGTTTTCAGGCATATTGTAACTGGGCTTTTTTTCTGGCATTGGCGCAGTAAAGGCTTTTTTCTGGCAACTCGACCATGCAGCTCATTTTTCTTCAAGTATCGTCTTATTGTGCTCCTTGAAACAACCACGCCATCTTTTTCCAGAGCAGCCTGTATTTCTCCTGAAGTTACCTGTGAGTTTTTCTTCCCATGGCTCAGTATCTAGCCTGCTCAGTGCATCAATATGAGAGCTAACAAACGCACTGACTATTTATACAGACATTAATTGCAATTTAAAAAATCCACAGTTGTGGAAATGTAACCTTTTAATAGCCAAACATTTAGGTAAACTTTTTATCAGGGCCATTTGGGTGATTTCTGCTATTATGATTTTAAAAGGAGCCAAACAATTATGTGATAATAAATGGCTTCATATGATCACTACCCTTAACCACTTGTCAACTGCGCTATTGCTGAATTATGGCTACAGCGCAATTGTCCAGGTCTGGGAGGGCGTCATATGACGTGATCAATGACACAGCAGATCACCGGTAAATGCAGTTGCTGGTTATCGGCTGCACTTTCCTCAATCTCAAGCGTGAGGAAAATACTACCGATAACCGGCAATTGTCGGAGGAGGGATCGGCACTGATCATCAGGGCACTGATGGTCAGTGCCCAGCAGTGCCACCCACCTGTGCCTACCTGTGCCCAGCAGTGCCCCCCATCAGTGCTGCCCAGCAGTGCCGCCAGTCAGTGCTGCCCATCTTTGTTGCATATCAGTGCAGCATCATAAGTGCTAGCCCATCAGTGCTGCCTATCGGTGCCCATCAGTGCTGCCTATCTGTGCCGCCTATCAGTGCAGCCTCATCAACGCACATCAGTGAAGGAGAAAAATTACCTGATTGCAAAACTTTATAATAGAAACAAAGAAAAAAAATTTTTTTTTCTTTTTTTTTGTTTATAGTGCAAAAAATAAAACATCCAGTGGTGATTAAATACCACCAAAAGAAAGCTCTATTTTGTGTGGAAAAAAAATGATAAAAATGTCATGGGTACAGTGTTGCATGACTGCGCAATTGTCATTCAAAGTGCGACAGCGTTGAAAGTTGGCCTGGGCAGGAAGGGGGTAGGTGCCCGGTAGGCAAGTGGTTAAATAAAAGACACCTTTTTTTTTTTTTTTTTTTGGCATGATCCGTCATATTTTCAATATCCATGTCAAAATGTCATGATTGCTGCTAGGGTATGCAAACTTTTCAGCACAGCTGTACTATGATCAGCCATACCTTTATGACCACTGACAGGTAAAATGAATACCATTGATTATCTTGTCACAGTGGCACCTGAAAGTGAGTGCCACTTTGGCACCACATGTTCGCTTGCTACTTCTTACATAGCAAGTGAACTTGTCCCTGTAGTTAAGGTGTTGGATTTGAGAAGACTGAGAAGAGCCAAATTGTTCCCAGTTTGCAATGGTCAGGACCTACCAAAAGTGGTCCAAGAAAGGGAAATCGGCAAACCAGCAACCTGATCATAGGTGGCCAAGGCTCTCTGATGCACGTGGGGAACTAAGGCTAGCTCAGGTAGTCCAATCCAATAGAAAAGCTACTGTAGCTCAAATGCTGAAAATAGTTAATGTTGGTGGTTGGTCTGATGGAAAGGTGTCCCCAGGACAGTATTATAGGGGAATTCTTCTAATGGGGTACTAGTTCTAGTGAACTGGGGGGCCCCAAAAGATTCACGTAATTTGCAGGGATTACCTTTCACTTCATGTTGTGACTATAGGACAGGAAGTGAAGGGAAATCTCTAATAGTTGTCTAATATGTTTATTTCTCATGGTCACCAGCTCCATCTGGTGGCCATAATGTGCAGTTTCCTGAAATCCTTCAATCCAGGAAAATACTCCATTATGGCCACTAGATAGAGCTGACAATCATAGGACACATTACAGGGATTATTTGTGAGGCATTTGTTTACAAAACTCCTGAGAAATTTGCACAGCGACTTTTATTTTTATCCAGAATTTTGTTACTGATGTCATGTATATTTATCTTTCACAGTATATGGTCCAGTGTGATCAGGTGCCTTCTTTGCCTGTTATTACTTTGACACTTGGTGGAAAAGCATACACCCTGACCGGGGAACAGTATACTATGAAGGTAAGAAATCGTTATTTTTGTCATTTAGATTCTACATAGGGATGATTTATTTTTGTCTAATTTTTTTACATCACAGAAACCTGACATTTTAATAGGGGTGTGTAGACTTTTTATATTATTATTATACAGGATTTATATAGCGCCAACAGTTTGCTCAGCACTTTACAATATAACGGGAGACAATACAGCAGCAATACAGTTCAATACAAGAGGGATTTGAGGGCCCTGCTCCTTGAAGCTTACAATCTAGGAGGGAGGGGCTAGTGGTACAAAAGGTAATAACTGTGGGGGATGGACTGGCTGGAAGAGTAGAAGATTCCAGTTTTAGCTGAGGGCAGGATAGGCTTCCCTGAAGAGAGAGGTTTTCAGAGATCGCCTAAAAGTGAACAGAGTAGGCGATAGTCTGATAAATTGGGCTAGAGAGTTCCAGAGGACGAGGGAAGCTCTGGAGAAGTCCTGTAGACAAGCATGAGAGGAGGAGACAAGGGAGCTAGAGAGTAGGAGGTCTTACGAGGAGCGGAGAGTACGGTATGGGTGATATTTAGAGACAAGATCGGTGATGTAATTTGGGGCAGAGTTATAAATGGCTTTATATCCACTGTACTTACCTGCTCTGTGCATTGGTTTTGCACAGAGCAGACCCGATCCGTCTCTTCTCAGGTCCCCCACCGGTGCTCCTGGCTCCTTCCTACCAGCCTCCTCCTGAGTGCCCCCATAGCAAACCACTTGTTATAGAGGCACTCGTTCATGCTTGCTCCTGAGCCCCCTGCTGTATGTCCAGACACTGTTTGCCATACTGAGAAAGTAAGCACAGCATACACGCATACGTTATAGCACACTTACTTCTGGATGTTCTTTTCATCTGTGATGTGAGGTTCAGAGCTAAAGTCTTGTCTACCAAAAGACTCTACTTGCTGGCAGACTTTAGTTTTTTTTCACCCCAAATGAATCTCACAAGCACATTGCATTTACGGCCAGCAAACCGTATGGTACTGCAGTATCATGTAGATTGGTGCAGTGCGATCTGGAAAAGTAATGCTTGCACTACTTTTTTCCATGTTCCAATATGTTTGGCAACCCATTAAAATGAATGATCTGTCAAAGCTGGAATGCACAGGAAAGCGCGCGTTCTAATGTGAACTGGTCCTAAAGGTGATTAGTGATGCAGTACCAGGGATTTGGAACACAGATTAGGAAGTATACGCCCACTGACCCCTTATGTGTTTTTAATGCTCTGGATTACAAAAATATCAAATTAAAGCAACATTTCAGGCAAAATTTAAACAAATAAAAGTGAATATCTCATTGAAATAAAAAGAAAATAGCAAATTCAACGTTTGCTGCAATATTCATCTTCAGCCCAGAGATTTCCTCCACAGGCCTCTGTGATGTCATCGCCTCACCTTTCAATCTCATCAAATCAGAGATTGCCTTGTATATAACAAAAAAAAATACAAGGCACAGTGGCTTAGTGGTTAGCACGTCTGCCTTGCAGTAAATGGGTCATGGGTTCAATTCCCGACCATGGTGCCTCCTGCATGGAGTTTGCATGTTCTCCCTGTGCTTGCGTGGGTTTCCTCTGGGTGCGCCGGTTTCCTCCCACACTTCAAAGACATGCTGGTAGGTTAATTGGATCCTGTCTAAATTGGTCCTAATATGTGTATGTATGAATGTGAGTTAGGGACCTTAGATTGTACACTCCTTGAGGGTTAGGGACTGATGTGAATGTACAATATATATATATATATATATATATATATATATATATATATATATATATATATATATATATGTGTGTGTGTATGTGTGTGTAAATCGCTGCGTGAATTGACAGCGCTATATAAGTACCTGAAATAAATAAATAAATACAAGGCATTCTGTGAATAGCAACAGCGCCAAGTGAGTAGCCCTTTGTGGTTACTTTGCAAATGAGCAGTCGCTTGGTACAGGTCCTGGAAGATCACTGCTATTGGTGCAGTACCAGACACTGTAGTGATTTGCAGCTTCCACAGTGGCCTCTTGGGTTTTAGATATGCCATTTTACAATGTGCCAAGCTGGACCAATGTAAACTATGCAATACAAATTCTTCCCAGGCTATACCTCTAATGATTACAGTTGATAAATCACCTGTGCGTGTACACGTGATTTTGTATTTCCGTGCAGGGGGTGCACGCCCTACCCGCACCGCCATTGGTGGCTACAACTTTCGATCATTGGGTGCTGGCCAGAGATTCCCTGCCGGCACCCGGTGATCTCCGTGGAACACTTACGGGGGAGAGGCTGGTATATAAACACAGTTAACCCTTTGATTGCCCCAGATGTTAACCCCTTCCTGCCCTGTGTCATTAATACAGTGTCAGTGCTTTTTAGTAGCACTGATCACTGTATTCGTGTCACTGGAGATGTCAGTGACAGTTTCCCCCCCAGTGTCAGAATGCCCGCCGCAGTCCCGCTATAAGTCGCTGATTGGCACCATTATTAGTATAAAAAAAAAATAAATTCCAGTATACAGTGGGGCGAAAAAGTATTTAGTCAGCCACCAATTCTGAAAGTTATCCCACTTAAAAAGATGAGAGAGGCCTGTAATTGGCATCATAGGTAGACCTCAACTATGAGAGACAAAATGAGTAACAAAATCCAGACAATCACATTGGCTGATTTGGAAAGAATTTATTTGCAAATTATGGTGGAAAATAAGTATTTGGTCAGTATGAAAAGTTCATCTCAATACTTTGTTATATATCCTTTGTTGGCAATGACAGAGGCCAAACGTTTCCTGTAAGTCTTCACAAGGTTGGCACACACTGTTGCTGGTATGTTGGCCCATCCTCCATGCAGATCTCCTCTAGAGCAGTGATGTTTTGGGGCTGTCGCTGGGCAACACGGACTTTCAACTCCCTCCAAAGGTTTTCTATGAGGTTGAGATCTGGAGACTGGCTAGGCCACTCCAGGACCTTGAAATGCTTCTTACAAAGCCACTCCTTCATTGCCCGGGTGGTATGTTAGGGATCATTGTCATGTTGGAAGACCCAGCCACGTTTTATCTTCAATGCCCTCGCTGATGGAAGGAGGTTTGCACTCAAAATCTCACGATACATGGCCCCATTCATTCTGTCCTGTACATGGATCAGTCGTCCTGGTCCCTTTTGCGGAGAAACAGCCCCAAAGCATGATGTTGCCACCCCCATGCTTCACAGTAGGTATGGTGTTCTTTGGATGCAACTCAGCGTTCTCTCTCCTCCAAACATGACGAGTTGTGTTTCTACCAAACAGTCCTATTTTGGCTTCATCTGACCATATGACATTCTCCTAATCCTCTTCTGGATCATCCAAATGCTCTCTAGCAAACTTCAGACGGCCCGGACATGTACTGGCTTAAGCAGGGGGACACGTCTGGCACTGCAGGATCTGAGTCCCTGGCGGCGTAGTGTGTCACTGATGGTAGCCTTTGTTACGTTGGTCCCAGCTCTCTGCAGGTCATTCACTATGTCCCCCCGTGTGGTCCTGGGATTTTTGCTCACCGTTCTTGTGATCATTTTGACCCCACGGGGTGAGATCTTGCGTGGAGCCCCAGATCGAGGGAGATTATAAGTGGTCTTGTATGTCTTCCATTTTCTAATTATTGCTCCCACAGTTGATTTGTTCACACCAAGCTGCTTGCCTATTGCAGATTCAGTCTTCCCAGCCTGGTGCAGGTCTACAATTTTGTTTCTGGTGTCCTTCGACAGCTCTTTGGTCTTCACCATAGTGCAGTTTGGAGTGTGACTGTTTGAGGTTGTGGACAGGTAGCTTTTATACTGATAACAAGTTCAAACAGGTGCCATTGATACAGGTAATGAGTGCAGGACAGAGGAGCCTCTTAAAGAAGAAGGTACAGGTCTGTGAGAGCCAGAAATCTTGCTTGTTTGTAGGTGACCAAATACTTATTTTCCACCATAATTTGCAAATAAATTCTTTCCAAATCAGCCAATGTGATTGTCTGGGTTTTTTTTCTCATTTTGTCTCTCATAGTTGAGGTCTACCTATGATGCCAATTACAGGCCTCTCTCATCTTTTTAAGTGGGAGAATTTGCACAATTGGTGGCTGACTAAATACTTTTTTGCCCCACTGTATATACTGCCATTTGTAGACACTATAACTTTCACGTAAACCAATTTACACATATTGGGATTTTTTTTGTAGCAAAGACAAAATATGGGGCTAAATTTATGACGAAATTAGATTTTTTTTTTATTGGATATGTTTTATTGCAAAAAGTCAAAAATATTGGTTTTTTTTTTTCAAAATTGTTCTTTTTTTTTTTTTTGTGTGTGTATAGTGCAAAAAAAAAAAACTGCAGAGGCGATCAAATGCCACCATAAGAAAGCTCCATTTGTGAGGAAAAAAGAACATAAATTTCATTGTGTATCGTTGCATGCGCAATTGTCAGTTAAAATAACGCAGCGCTGTTTCGCAAAAAATGGCCTGGTCAGGAAGGAGGGTAAATTCTCTGGAGGGCAAGTGGTTCATGTGTGCCTTAGAGTTTAGCTTTTAAAGTCTATCTACATTCAAGAACAAAATTTTTATATATTGCAGCTTAGCAGTCCTTGGATATGGTGGCTTTGTTAGTGTTTTGTTTTGTTTTTTTTCACCCTTACTAACTGTCCTGTATCTATGGAAGAGCAGTGTTTCCTTCCTAGGCTGCTCTCTTTATTTGGGCTACAAACGTCTTCCCCTCTCCTCATTTCATTAATTTAGGGGTAAAGTTTCAAGGACGCAGCATTTCTGTCAAATTCATCAGATATTTTCTGTACTTGCACAAAATGTACTTGAATAAAGAAAATGAATGCAGCGACCCCATCAAAGGACTAGTAATCTGCAATATATTAGCGTTGTGTTTTGTGGGTTTAGATGCCCTTTAAGGTAATCTGTTTGAATTTTCTAATATGTTTACAGGATAGTATTAATCATGCTTTATAAGCTTTCCCTGATTGCCTGGAATTTCTCTTTTGAGCATTGCAGAAAATAGAGCCTTTAAATTACATCCAAAGCTGCTCATAGATTCAGCCAGTTCAGCAGGGACCAGCTGAATTTCGATCAATCTATGGTGGTTTCTACTTGACAGAAGTCGATCGAACGATTGACTTCTGTTGAACAGGAATGTTAGTTTTGCCGATCAATGGCTGCAGCCATACAGTGGCACAGCAGGGAAGCTTCCTCCATCCACCTTGCATGTGTAGCTAGGGTAATACGTTCCCTCTGGCTGATCCCAAAGAAACAAGGCGTCTATGGCCAGCCTAAGCTGACAGGTAATGATAATGAGTGTAGTAGCCTATGCATTGTCCAGGTCCAGGTACTGCTACCCTTGTAATGCTGAGAACATTGCACCAGTCTAATCCCTTTCATTTCCCCTGCAGGTACAACAGGGATCCCAATCCATTTGTGTGAGTGGATTTATGGTCTTGATATTCCCCCTCCAGCCGGACCCCTGTGGATTCTAGGAGATGTGTTCATCGGCCAATATTATACCGTTTTTGACCGGGCTAATGACCGTGTGGGCTTTGCCAAGGCCAAATGATGGAAGCACCCTGTACAATCACTGTACATTATACTGGGTCATCTGATCTTCCCAAGAACTCAATGCAATGAATATGTGCCTGGCCAAGGTTATTGATACATATGATGTGATTATCACTGAAAACAGATTAGAAATAGATAACTGTTTATGAATGCTCCAGGACCTCTGCAAACCTCTCCTGGTTAGCTGGTACTGGTTTTGTGGGGGGGTTATTTGTCAGAAATTGATTCTTTCTGAGATATGGCTGGCACCTGGGATGTCTGCATTTTAAAAAAATAATGCACCATCAACCAAAACATTTGCTAGGAGAGCCCTCTAGGAATCAGATCTTCCAGATACTATCTCATGTACGTCTATGGCTGGAATGCTGCACAATCTCTTTCACCTACTAACCTAGCCAAAGACATGGAATGACATCAAACTTTATACATACAGCACACAATGTTTTAGCTGAACACTCTTAAATATTTAGTCCTCCCTGATGCCACCTTTTATCTCAAGATTAAGAAGTTGCTGATTGGAAAACTACATTCGGAGCGATCCGCTCCCCCACTCCACTCAAGATCTTTGGCCAGGAGGCCTATGCGAAGGTCTTGGTGCATCAATTTGTATGTAAACGTTTCCCGATGTGACCCTTAATGGTTCTATCGGGTGAAAATCCTCAGATCTCTCTGGGTAGCCTTAGAAGGTGTGCCACGTAATGCGTTGCTTGGCAGAACTTCTTTTTTTTTTTTTTTTTTTTTTTTTTTTTACTCTCGAGTGATTGCCAAGTGTGTAACAGTAAACCACTCAAGGTAATGGAATGGCTCTTGAGGAACAACTTAGATGTTTTCTGTTGTTTGAACAATTTAGGATTACACTTGATGATAGTCAAATGAGGCAAACATAAATATGCATTTGAAGGGTAGAATTTAATTAATTAATTTAAAGTGTTTGGAGTGTTCTGTATAAAATTGTAGATGATTGTTTTACTTGACAATAACTATTGAATAGAACAGATCAGTGCACTGATATTGACTACTGCATAGACTCATGCTGGGACTTGGGTCAAGAAAGCGTTCGAGGGATTTTAATAGTTTCAGTGTTACAAGCCATAAAAACAAAGTAGGAGCTGTCATATATTAATTCTCGGCATAATCCAAATCACTCTAAAAGAAAGCACTGTTCATGGAGTTGGAGTGGCTGGAGCTTATGCGGGTTTCTAGAGAAACAAGGATCTATTTGTTTGCCTGTCTTATTCCTCTAACCAGATCAAATTGTCCGTTTAGGAATCTACCATGTTTTCAATAATTTATTATTTTTTAAAGTACATTTGCCACCAAGAAAAAGAGCTTTGTGTGTATGGATTAATGTTACGCTGCTATATTGAATATTTATTTGCTGTGTTCAGGCTTTCTGGGTCCATGCAGCTGTGTAGCCTAGGTTCACTCTTATTTCTGTCCCCACTCCAAATGGTAAAGAAAATCAAAACCCAAGAATAAAAATGTAATCTCTTGCAGCTGACCAGTCTTTAGATGTGGTGGCTGCATTAGTTTTCCTTTTTCCAGCCATGTACTTTTTCTACTGAAAGGGATCTGTTGATCTCACTATATATACTGTGTCTTTAAAATTCAAAATCAATGCACAAGAAACTACAAACAGCCTTACAAACTATTGTCATTAAACTAAGCAAGTGAAGCCCTCCTCTTATGTAATGTACATGAGGAGGGGAAAGTGTTTATAGTTCATTCAAATCAGCAGAGCTGCTCAGGGTGATGACGCTGCTTTTGTTCTAGATATAGTACAGTAAGTGAGCTATGCCACCCTAAGAAAGTAAGTATTACATGTTTTGTTTTGGGTTTTAGATATGCTTTTAAAGTGGAATTCCAGCCTAAGATGACCTATCATTAAAAATGTACCCCCACCCTGTTATTTATTTTGTCGAACTGTATAAAAATATCTATATACTTCTTTTTAGCAGCTCTGACTCCTTGTGTCAGTAAGTGGCAGCTGCAGGGGAGAGGAGGAAGCACCATCAGCAGCTGGGCCATGGAAGCCTATGGGTGATGTCACAGCTCCCAGAATTTGCAACCATTGTCGAGTGCTCCCACCTCTCCCCTGCAGCTGCCACTGACACACTGGATCATATGTCCGGACTGGAGTAGACTAAATATAGTTAAGTATACAGATCTTTTTTTACATAGGTTAGGTAGCAGAAGAGGATGGGGGGACATTTTTAGGCCTACTTAGTGTTAAGCTGGGAGTCCACTTTAAGCTAAAGCTTTGCCAACGGTCTTATTGAGATGAATGAATAAAGAATTTATTTTGGAGGGTCAAAATATTTACTTTTCCTGGAGAAAATGCTGCTCTGGGCTTCCTCCAGTGCTGGTTTTAATATCTAAAAACCCTAAACATTTGACCATGTGATCTATGCTAAAAGAGAGCTTGGAGCAGACTGCAACTGCCAAACCGCATACATTCAGAAAGTAAAAGTAATTTAAAAAATTGCACAGATTTGCAACACTATGGGGTTTCTATATAAAAAAAAACGTTTACTAAACGAATGTGACAAATGTCTGCACAGCTCCAACGAAACTTTCTGAATTCTGTGTAATATGATTGTAAGTGCCATCTAGTGGCCATAACACAGCATTTTTAAAAAAATACCTCAATCAGGGAAAAAAATTATTATGGCCACTAGATGGCGGTTATAAAGGAAATTGCTATTCCACAGAATATGGCAGGTTTTGTTGAAGCTGTGCGGATGTTTGCCACATTCATTCAGCTAACGTTTTATTAATAGGTCCCTTTTAGATTTTGGTTTATTTGTGACAAAAATAAAAAACAGCCTACCCAACATAATACAATCTTGTATTCCTTTTTTCAGAGTATCAGGGCAATATGTAGCAAATGGTAAGCCTTAAAGTTCAAGAACGTAATCATAGAAGATGTACAATTTTGCACTATTTATGTTACATGCTCTAATTTGTACTGTACAATAGATTTCTGTTCAAGTCATCATTTAAAGCTAAAGTGTAATCTGCTTCTGTTTTGCCATCCCTGGCTCTTCCTCTCACCCCTTATCAACATGCTAACGACATTATCAATTAAAACATATGTGTTTTTAATTACATATCTTATTTTAGACCAAGTGACGTCTTTCCTAGCTCTCCATGTTTCTCTTGTAAACCAGAAAAACGATCTATTCCTGTTCTTAATGTTTTACAATATCAATACAAAATAAAGCTATGCCACCATATATGATTAGGACTACCTGGCCATGTGTCTTTGTATAATGTAGAAGTACACACAAACACTCTTCTTGTATTATATGAAAATAGTGAAGGTATAAGACCATCAAACTGTGCGAAATGTGTAAATAATTAATGCTTTATCACTTATATATCACATCTGTGTATTAATCACTACGTTGCCACTTTAAAATATAATAAACATAAGCAAAATGCACTTCAAAAAGTATTCCGGTGGCGCATAAAACAATTGTCAGTGCAAAAAAACTTCTTATAAAAAATACACACACACACACACACACACGTTTGGGCTAAAAGCTAAAAATTTGTATTAATGTGCATAAAGAAGCCAAGGAAAGATGGAAAAATCTCCAAAAGGCATCAAATTACAGATTAGACATTCTTATAATATGTCAACAAAAGTTAGATTTTATTTCCATCATTTACACTTTCAACAAATTTTTAGCTGGGGTGCCCAAACTTTCGATCCCCACTGTGTGTGTGTGTGTGTGTATATATATATATATATATATATATATATATATATATATATATATAATTATATATATAAAAAAATATTAATAGTATAACAATAATTGATGCTGTTACAAGCAGAAAGTCCCCTCTCAGGTGTGCACTCACCATAAAGTGTTGCCTTCCATTCTCGTGGTTGGCACACCAGGCTTTAATTAACGATTTTCCAAGGAATAAATCAGATCACTTGTGATATTATAATCTCCTTAATCATGAAACATTGGAATCCCAGGACAAGCGCTCCCGAACTCCAGCACACAAATTCCTCCTCCCAATGCTCCACACTGCTTGGATCTCCCTCCTGCACAAGTAGCAGCTTCACCCCCAGAAAACCAACTTCCAAGCAAGTGTGAGACAAGGCAAGAGCTCAAACAATTTTCAAACAAACAGAATTGAGAGGAAAGGAGGGGTTCAGGAGTTAAAAGAGCATATTATTATTATTTTTTTTTTTTCAAAGTTGATAATTATTAAAGTTCAACTCTGGGCAAATTATAGTATGCAATCCTGCAAGGGCCCGCTGGATGTTAATAAAAGAGAGGAGAACCCTTCAGACTGCAGTGATCGTGGATTTGGGTAAGTAAAAAGGGATGTTTTTTCAAGCCAGCGATCAATTAGGGGCAGGTAAGAGGGATGGGCTTTAAATACAAAAAAAGCCATACTTACCTGATGCTACTTACCTCACTGGGCCCAGGGTCTTTTGGCTCCTTGAGGATTGTTCTCCGCTGCCTTTCTTTTGGGCTCTTTGCTACCAGCTTTTTGTATTTCGGGCCCTTTGCTTGCTCAGGAAGAGCATCGCTGGGTGCAGGTTGAAGGCTCCTGGGATGCCGAGCTGGTGGTGATGTCCCTCCTCTTCACCTTGAGGGCCTTTCCATCTTCAGCCCTCTTCCTGGTTGTCTTTGGGAACCTCACTGGATAGTGGAAGATGGGAGCCATGGTGAAGGTAGTAGCCATGTCCAGAAGCTGTCCCAGGGCCTCAGTCTTCTCAGCCTTTCCTCCCTGCAGATGAGTCACTGCGGCCATGATGTCCTCCTTTTTGTCCTTCCCGGTGGAGTCCGAAGAGGCGAATCCCAGAAGGAGAAGAGGATCTGCTGATCCCTAGTTGAAGTCTTTGGCCATCTTGTCACTTGTTGACTGCAGAAATGCTGAAATCCACAAGAATCCTGGATAATATCTATCTCATCTATACAATCTATCTATATAATATTTATCTATAATAGTATTGTTTTTTTTTTCTGA